AATTAAATAGTTTAACAGGATGTAGCCTGTAGGAAATTGATGTTATCAGTTTTATAGCGCACTTAAACATGAGTTGGACCTTGAAATTGATTGTTGCCTCTTCAATCAAATTCACTCACATTTTACTGAACAAATTTGGATACAAGCACTAAATTTAAAGAGAGTTTGAATTTTGAGAGAATAGAAGACCCGAAATTGGAAAGCTGGTCCTTTTAACCTTCAAATCCAAAGAAATTTTATCATCACCAAAGAATTAAAACTTAACTAGCTTCTATTCATGCTTTTGCAGGTGAAGCATGGGTTAAGGATTTCAAAATTCAAAATATTTCTTCTTCTTTTTTTTTAATAAATATGGTGTTGGATATTATAAATATTTTTGAGTATTTCAAAAGGAATTATTATAAATTAATAATATTAATTATTATTTAAGTCTATTTATTATTTTGTAACATATAATTTAAACAACATTATTATTTGAAACTGTTTTTTAATTGTGATTAAAATGGTTTTTTTGCCCAGCATTATGAGATCTGCCTATAAAAGGCAATGCTTGCCACAGGTTCAGTGAGAGCCTTAGTACTCTCGGCCTTTCTCTTCTCTTCTATCATATTAATTCATTGTACAGTTACTTGAGTATATTATGTGAATTTCTGTTGTTCTGTGTCCCTACTTTTAGTAGGAAGAGTATATTTAATCTTGAGAAGCTGCCGCGCGATCAACCTAATGTGATAGAATAGGTTTTAAGGATAGTATCCTTGGGCATGACTCAGGCTATGATTTCACCAGCTATTGCGAACAATCTTAAGAGCTAGATTTTGTCAAGGACATGAGAATGAGAGCAAGAGTGTTATTTTGGTAACTAGATAAATATTTGCATCACCTAGTTTCCAAGGTCTATTTATTGTTAGACTAAATGTTGGGGCACTACTCATAAGTGATGACAATGCCGATCTTCTCCTTTATGTCTCTGTGTTTCGTCCCTAGTCCCAGTCCAATCGGTGCCCATGGTTTCTGAGGCACTGATCAACCATGTTCGATTTGAGTTGTATTGAACTTGGTGGACTTAGATCCAATAGAGGTGCACTGTAAGGCAATGAGTTTCAATGATGTTCATGAGCATAATTTGGTATTGGAGTAAATCATTCACGTTCCTCAATAAAGGTCCGTTCTATTCACAGCTTCTATGTGTAATGTAAATTATCATATATTATGGATCGTTATGATGAGACATAATGAGCTTTCAATTTTATAAATATTAAGGGTGAAACGTAATGTGGAAAAAAATGTGTTACTATTGGTTTCTTTAAGGAGATTGAATATCAATCATGAATTAGTAACGCTGTAAACTTTAATATATAGGATTGGTATTTGGGTGATAATTAATCTAATAAATTAAGAATGCTATTAGTGGATCATTAATGGTGGAGGTGATGGGATATATTATTTAACAAATTTTTAGTGTTTCTTGTGTTTGATTGCGTTACTAGTACTGTTAACCTATGATACTAAATTGTAAGGAGCATGTGGATTACATGCTTCCTGAAATTAAAATTTTGTGAAATTTAATTTAATATCCACATTTCTTGTATATGTGTATACTGGTGTTCAGCGTTATGATTCCACTTCATTTGCGTGTGTTGCTGCCATACTATATTATGATGATATACATTATAATTTTAATTAAAGTATGGTAAAATATGCACCTTTATAAATATAAATATATTTATTGTGGGCTTTATAATTTTGGCAACAATGAGATATAAAATTTGTTTCACGATGATGGTCACATAACTTCATGAGTGTGAAAATAAGTTATATCATATGATTTAAGTATCATAATTGTAATTGTCTCAATTGAATTTATGTTGCCCTAAAGAAAATTATATGGCGTTAAGTTTAGGCATTTTATTTGATGAATTTAAAATTATGAGAAATTCTAGTTTAATTAGAATGGGAGGAGATTATATGGTGAGATTCTAATTTAATTAGAATCATTGTTGTTAAGGCATGAAAATATTTTTCATGTAATTAAAATATTTGAAAGTGCGGGCAGCCTAATGTATGGAATTTGTTGCAAAAATGTGTTGTACCAAAATATTAGTTTCTTTTTATAAATGTCTAGTTGTGGTTTAGAGGAAAATTATGTGAAGGCTTTATGACTTGCATAAATGCTAAAAAAAAAAGATTTGTGATTTATCAAGATAGTGGCACAAAAGTTAATCATTTGTCTAGTATAGATGAATAAATTTTGAAATAGACGCATGACCTATTTAATAATATATCTTGGCAGGAGTATTCATTATTGTAAATACTGATTTGTGTTATGATCCCATGAGATAATTAATTTTTTTTTCAAATTATGGAATTGAGAATAGTGGATTCCTACTATATAAAATACGTGGATGCATGTTTACTAAGTTATTAATTTGTGTGAGAAAACCCATTAGTGATTATCCACTTTCGGTAGTGATGATATCAAAATATAATGATAGGACTATAGTGGAATCCAAGCTAATTAATTTGAAACTGGATTAGAGGCTAAGTTGCTAGAGATCATCTAAGCAATTATTTTGTTGTGTAAAACTGACACTTAGTGCCGATGAGTTCTTATGAGGCTGATATGTTATTTTAAAAAAATGATATATTTTTGTTGCTCAATTTATGTATGCACAAATTTGTGAGAGTTTGTTGCACTATTAAGTGTTAATCTCATGACATACGTTGCATGGAGATTAAGTCTCATAAGAGCATGAGACAAATGAATATTTAAGGGATACCATAAATGGTGGTATCATGTATAATAGATTTCTATTGTATTAAGACAATACAATGATGTTAACTAAATTTTATATTCAAATGAAGAAAAATCTATTAATAGCCAAATAAAATGTTATTTGAGCCAGAGTTTATTATTTTAAAGTTGGCTAATAATGAAGTTGAGTAGTTAAAAAACTTCTCAATGAATATTCTACTATGAGTAAAACCGACATAAACTATGTTGATGATTTGTAATTGCCAAATGGCAATAGTCATTGCAAAGAGAATAATGACATAGGTAAATATCGTTTGAAATACAATTAAGCATGCTAAAAAAGAGAGTTATTTCAATCGATTACGTGAGATCAGATGTAAATCTGACGAATTCGTTAACTAACCCCTTGGGAAGAATTTTAATTATTTAAATGTTGAGGAGAATGGGACTTAAGCCTATTTAAAATTAACAGTGATGGAAATCCAACCTTTGTGAGTAGAAATTCCATGAAGAAGGTTCAATAGGTAAGAACAAATTACTTGTTAGTTTTGCTAGCACTAAATTTTCTATCCCTTCCTACGACTTGAGAAAATGCTAGAATACATTGATCGAAGGTTGAGTGAAAGCTCTTAATGTTTTTCATAGTCCTTACGGATGATATATTCATTACAGATACACTTGATGAAAATACTTATACAAATGTGAAATAGGGCTGCTCCTATGAGATCGTGGCGAAATCTCTAGAGTATTTGTTATAGCCAGGCATGCACATGGCTGATAACGTGCAAAACCGCGATAACAATGGAAATTGTGGGGGTATAATTTGACTAATAAGACCTCTAGCATACGACCAAGATCTGTTGGTTCAATAACAAAGTTACACTAACTTTTCTGTGTGTTAAGTTTTATTGGTCTAGATTTGGTTCAAGTTGAAAGACACCAAATTTAAAGTGATTATCTTTTGTGAAAATAACTCAGATGATAGTGGTCCTTTTGACACATGTAGGGAATCGTTACAATTATGTCAAAAAGGAAAGTCCTATGTTGCTCAAATGATAGAAGGCCTTAGTTTATAGATACTGAGATGTGAACTTGGACTAATAAATGGGCTCTTGCATACAATTACATAAAAGTTAGACGTAATTCTTGACAATTTTTCAAAATTTTGAAAACTATTTTTTGGAGATGCAAAATTATTTGTATAAGATAGTTTTTCAAAATTTTTCCTTCCTTTTGGAATATGTGAGGGATTGTTGGATATTATAAATATTTTTGAATATTTCAAAAGGAATTATTATAAATTAATAATATTAATTATTATTTAAGTCTATTTATTATTTTATAACTTATAATTTAAACAACATTATTATCTGAAACTGTTTTTTTAATTGTGATTAAAGTGGTTTTATTATCCAACATTATGAGATTTGCTTATAAAAGGCAAAGCCTGTCACGGGTTCAGTGAGAGTCTTAGTACTCTCAGCCTTTCTTTCCTCTTCTATCATACTAGTTCATTGTACAGTTACTTGAGTATATTTTGTGAATTTTTGTTGTTCTGTGTCCCTACTTTTAGTAGGAAGAGTATGTTTAATCCGGGAGAGCTACCGCGCAATCAACCCCGTGTAGCGGAATAGCTCTTAAGGACAATATCTTTGGGCATGACTCAGGCTATGATTTCACCAGCTATTGCCAACATATGGAACCTATATTAACCAAACTAATAGAAGACATTACAAACTAATGAGTACAAAGAACAACTCTCCTATCATCATTCACCAACTTCTGATAAAGAGGTGGAGGATGGACATAGGTACAAAAATCAACACTAATCCAGTAATGAGATAATTGTGCTAATAAGTGAGCACAAATGTTTGCTTCCCTGTATATGAAATCAAAAGAAATAGTCCGATTTCTTTCAAGGAAGAGTCTAGCAATTTCAATAACATCACCAAACAGATGGTTTTGATTGCAAATCCTGGTAACCATATTAATAGCTTCAGTACTGTCATAGCAAACTTCCACATACTTAATCAGTGTTCGAACTTCTTTTCAAAAATACTAGAATGCTTAAGATTAGATCTGGAAAAAGAGAAAAAATTTTGAAAAATTAGACGTTTGTCTCAGATTCAACCAAAAGCTCATGTGCCATCTTTGCAAACATAAAAGTGTGTTGCCTCAGTTAGTTACTCCTGTATAATAGATTAAGAGAATATACCAAATGTATATAAATATATAATATATTCCTTTTGCGGCATCTGCTAACTATTTTTCAACAAGAACAACCCAAGCACACAATGTGTCTTCAGTTAAATTCATTGTTTCTGGATCAGTCTGTTTAAGTATATAAAGAAAGGTGGATGGTAAATCACTGATATACCATACTAAAGAAGTTGCAGATGGTGATGGGTATACGTAAGACTTCTCATACATTGAGGCAGCGGTAGTTTGGAGTCTAACTTGATGACGACTCAAATTATCAGTAGCCACCCCATTGCCACCTTCAGCTTGAGATGAGTTTCCAGTACTAGTTCCCGTTCTTGTTCCTGTTCCAAGTTATAATAATCCAGCCTAAATCAAGTTCAGCGCCATCCAAAGCTGCAATCTTTACTTCATTCATGTTATTTTATAATTTCATAAATATGTAAACAGGTAGTGTTAAACTCGAAATGATACCATGTTAAAAAAAAAGTAAGAAAACATGACTGTCCCAAGAAAAGAGAAAACATGGTTTCAAGAGTTGAATAAATTATTTCAATCTTCAACATACACAATACACCATTTTATAAGTCGCATAGAAATATAAAAGAAAATGGGACAGAAATAATCCTAGTCTTTAAAAAAAGTGTCTGTACAGTAAAAAATTCTAAACTGACATGCTTTAAATAGGATAATGTTTGGTTCTTGTATGGAAGGGGCGTATCTGAAGAGGATTAATCTGTCGATATCAAACTATATCACCTTCACTTTTCCCATTTTCCATTTTAGTTACTAAAGGCATTATTTCCTCAGAAATAGTATAATTTCAATTTTGGCATAGTGAAATCATTAATATGCTAACAAACTATGCATACAGTATCTATTCTCATATGGTTACCCTGTCGATCTGACTGTGATCCATGCTGCCCTCCAGCAGTAGTTGCGCCATTTTCAGGCGGTACAACCAAGGCTCTGCAGGTAGGGCAAGTATGTTGCCCCTCTAACCATGATCGGAGGCAATGCACATGAAAAAGATGTCCACATATAAGCTTCTTGGCTGTAGTCATCTCTTCACGACAGATAATATATGTAGCATCGCTTCTGCATACCCATTTTAAAAAATCAATACTATTGTATAAGTTTAACTACAAAAACAAGTGTAAGTAATATTTTAGAAACTAACGCGTTAAGCTCTTCAGGGGTTGCATCTGAAAACCGATCATTCATATTTGAAGTAATCTTACGATAGCGTATGTAGTCAGCAACATGAACTTTGAAGTTCCTAAATGTCTCATACAGCTCCCATATTAAGTGTAAAGGCACACCATAATTTCTACCAAAGCCAATTTAAGATTAGTACTTAGTAGATAAAAAATAGCCTGTGAAGACTAAACATGCAGTTAAATTAAAACAAAAACAGGACAAACAAGTAAACCAAAAGCTAGACAAGCTATTTTAAAATAACATTCACTACTAAAGAACAATAGAAGAAAACAGTGGGAGGTGACTGGTCACCATAGCCTTATATAATATCTTTGGACAAATAATATAGCAGTAAGATAAAAGCTAAGTTCCATGACAAACACAGTGAGCATTAGTTTAATTAGTTTAACTAACATTATGATGGGTATCTAAGTGGGATGAGATGCTCTACCCCAAAATTTAGTTGTTAAAGTGGGAGAACCAACCCATTTATATATCCCATTGAGCATCCCATATTACTCAATGTGGGACTTAGCATCCCATACTACCAAGTCTCCATGATATTATAATTAGCTAAGTAATTTAGAAGGACCTTCCCTTGGTTAATGTTCAAAGTATCTGAAATGGAGATGACATATATCAGTTGCTAGAAAGTAGGGGAGCGCTAATAAGGAAGTTACCATTAAAGAAAATCTCAGTGCCATTGCAACTCAATCTGGAACTTACTATTTTAAAGGATTGATTTCTATCAGCCTTGTAAAAAACTAAATATCTTTCTCTCACCCATTAATTTCCAAATAATAATTTACAGAGGGCCTGTGCTGCACAAAAATTCCAGCAACTAGTTTATCTGATTTCAGACATGATTTACCTTCAAAGTGTAATTCTTGAACCAACATTCATGTCTGTAAATCAAAACATTAACATCAATTCCAACCTTAAAAATTTTAAATTGCATGATCCTCCATGTAAACACTCTAGGACGATTCATGAGGGCTACAATGCATATACAAAATAAGAGTAGATTGATCACTTACATGAAAATCACGAGGAAGAAACACATATACATAGACAAGTGAAGCAAATCCCTGATGAGTTCCAAGTAGAATGTGAAGACTGGCTTAAAATATGGTAAAATATGCACCTTTATAAATATAAATATATTTATTGTGGGCTTTATAATTTTGGCAACAATGAGATATAAAATTTGTTTCACGATGATGGTCACATAACTTCATGAGTGTGAAAATAAGTTATATCATATGATTTAAGTATCATAATTGTAATTGTCTCAATTGAATTTATGTTGCCCTAAAGAAAATTATATGGCGTTAAGTTTAGGCATTTTATTTGATGAATTTAAAATTATGAGAAATTCTAGTTTAATTAGAATGGGAGGAGATTATATGGTGAGATTCTAATTTAATTAGAATCATTGTTGTTAAGGCATGAAAATATTTTTCATGTAATTAAAATATTTGAAAGTGCGGGCAGCCTAATGTATGGAATTTGTTGCAAAAATGTGTTGTACCAAAATATTAGTTTCTTTTTATAAATGTCTAGTTGTGGTTTAGAGGAAAATTATGTGAAGGCTTTATGACTTGCATAAATGCTAAAAAAAAAAGATTTGTGATTTATCAAGATAGTGGCACAAAAGTTAATCATTTGTCTAGTATAGATGAATAAATTTTGAAATAGACGCATGACCTATTTAATAATATATCTTGGCAGGAGTATTCATTATTGTAAATACTGATTTGTGTTATGATCCCATGAGATAATTAATTTTTTTTTCAAATTATGGAATTGAGAATAGTGGATTCCTACTATATAAAATACGTGGATGCATGTTTACTAAGTTATTAATTTGTGTGAGAAAACCCATTAGTGATTATCCACTTTCGGTAGTGATGATATCAAAATATAATGATAGGACTATAGTGGAATCCAAGCTAATTAATTTGAAACTGGATTAGAGGCTAAGTTGCTAGAGATCATCTAAGCAATTATTTTGTTGTGTAAAACTGACACTTAGTGCCGATGAGTTCTTATGAGGCTGATATGTTATTTTAAAAAAATGATATATTTTTGTTGCTCAATTTATGTATGCACAAATTTGTGAGAGTTTGTTGCACTATTAAGTGTTAATCTCATGACATACGTTGCATGGAGATTAAGTCTCATAAGAGCATGAGACAAATGAATATTTAAGGGATACCATAAATGGTGGTATCATGTATAATAGATTTCTATTGTATTAAGACAATACAATGATGTTAACTAAATTTTATATTCAAATGAAGAAAAATCTATTAATAGCCAAATAAAATGTTATTTGAGCCAGAGTTTATTATTTTAAAGTTGGCTAATAATGAAGTTGAGTAGTTAAAAAACTTCTCAATGAATATTCTACTATGAGTAAAACCGACATAAACTATGTTGATGATTTGTAATTGCCAAATGGCAATAGTCATTGCAAAGAGAATAATGACATAGGTAAATATCGTTTGAAATACAATTAAGCATGCTAAAAAAGAGAGTTATTTCAATCGATTACGTGAGATCAGATGTAAATCTGACGAATTCGTTAACTAACCCCTTGGGAAGAATTTTAATTATTTAAATGTTGAGGAGAATGGGACTTAAGCCTATTTAAAATTAACAGTGATGGAAATCCAACCTTTGTGAGTAGAAATTCCATGAAGAAGGTTCAATAGGTAAGAACAAATTACTTGTTAGTTTTGCTAGCACTAAATTTTCTATCCCTTCCTACGACTTGAGAAAATGCTAGAATACATTGATCGAAGGTTGAGTGAAAGCTCTTAATGTTTTTCATAGTCCTTACGGATGATATATTCATTACAGATACACTTGATGAAAATACTTATACAAATGTGAAATAGGGCTGCTCCTATGAGATCGTGGCGAAATCTCTAGAGTATTTGTTATAGCCAGGCATGCACATGGCTGATAACGTGCAAAACCGCGATAACAATGGAAATTGTGGGGGTATAATTTGACTAATAAGACCTCTAGCATACGACCAAGATCTGTTGGTTCAATAACAAAGTTACACTAACTTTTCTGTGTGTTAAGTTTTATTGGTCTAGATTTGGTTCAAGTTGAAAGACACCAAATTTAAAGTGATTATCTTTTGTGAAAATAACTCAGATGATAGTGGTCCTTTTGACACATGTAGGGAATCGTTACAATTATGTCAAAAAGGAAAGTCCTATGTTGCTCAAATGATAGAAGGCCTTAGTTTATAGATACTGAGATGTGAACTTGGACTAATAAATGGGCTCTTGCATACAATTACATAAAAGTTAGACGTAATTCTTGACAATTTTTCAAAATTTTGAAAACTATTTTTTGGAGATGCAAAATTATTTGTATAAGATAGTTTTTCAAAATTTTTCCTTCCTTTTGGAATATGTGAGGGATTGTTGGATATTATAAATATTTTTGAATATTTCAGAAGGAATTATTATAAATTAATAATATTAATTATTATTTAAGTCTATTTATTATTTTATAACTTATAATTTAAACAACATTATTATCTGAAACTGTTTTTTTAATTGTGATTAAAGTGGTTTTATTATCCAACATTATGAGATTTGCTTATAAAAGGCAAAGCCTGTCACGGGTTCAGTGAGAGTCTTAGTACTCTCAGCCTTTCTTTCCTCTTCTATCATACTAGTTCATTGTACAGTTACTTGAGTATATTTTGTGAATTTTTGTTGTTCTGTGTCCCTACTTTTAGTAGGAAGAGTATGTTTAATCCGGGAGAGCTACCGCGCAATCAACCCCGTGTAGCGGAATAGCTCTTAAGGACAATATCTTTGGGCATGACTCAGGCTATGATTTCACCAGCTATTGCCAACATATGGAACCTATATTAACCAAACTAATAGAAGACATTACAAACTAATGAGTACAAAGAACAACTCTCCTATCATCATTCACCAACTTCTGATAAAGAGGTGGAGGATGGACATAGGTACAAAAATCAACACTAATCCAGTAATGAGATAATTGTGCTAATAAGTGAGCACAAATGTTTGCTTCCCTGTATATGAAATCAAAAGAAATAGTCCGATTTCTTTCAAGGAAGAGTCTAGCAATTTCAATAACATCACCAAACAGATGGTTTTGATTGCAAATCCTGGTAACCATATTAATAGCTTCAGTACTGTCATAGCAAACTTCCACATACTTAATCAGTGTTCGAACTTCTTTTCAAAAATACTAGAATGCTTAAGATTAGATCTGGAAAAAGAGAAAAAATTTTGAAAAATTAGACGTTTGTCTCAGATTCAACCAAAAGCTCATGTGCCATCTTTGCAAACATAAAAGTGTGTTGCCTCAGTTAGTTACTCCTGTATAATAGATTAAGAGAATATACCAAATGTATATAAATATATAATATATTCCTTTTGCGGCATCTGCTAACTATTTTTCAACAAGAACAACCCAAGCACACAATGTGTCTTCAGTTAAATTCATTGTTTCTGGATCAGTCTGTTTAAGTATATAAAGAAAGGTGGATGGTAAATCACTGATATACCATACTAAAGAAGTTGCAGATGGTGATGGGTATACGTAAGACTTCTCATACATTGAGGCAGCGGTAGTTTGGAGTCTAACTTGATGACGACTCAAATTATCAGTAGCCACCCCATTGCCACCTTCAGCTTGAGATGAGTTTCCAGTACTAGTTCCCGTTCTTGTTCCTGTTCCAAGTTATAATAATCCAGCCTAAATCAAGTTCAGCGCCATCCAAAGCTGCAATCTTTACTTCATTCATGTTATTTTATAATTTCATAAATATGTAAACAGGTAGTGTTAAACTCGAAATGATACCATGTTAAAAAAAAAGTAAGAAAACATGACTGTCCCAAGAAAAGAGAAAACATGGTTTCAAGAGTTGAATAAATTATTTCAATCTTCAACATACACAATACACCATTTTATAAGTCGCATAGAAATATAAAAGAAAATGGGACAGAAATAATCCTAGTCTTTAAAAAAAGTGTCTGTACAGTAAAAAATTCTAAACTGACATGCTTTAAATAGGATAATGTTTGGTTCTTGTATGGAAGGGGCGTATCTGAAGAGGATTAATCTGTCGATATCAAACTATATCACCTTCACTTTTCCCATTTTCCATTTTAGTTACTAAAGGCATTATTTCCTCAGAAATAGTATAATTTCAATTTTGGCATAGTGAAATCATTAATATGCTAACAAACTATGCATACAGTATCTATTCTCATATGGTTACCCTGTCGATCTGACTGTGATCCATGCTGCCCTCCAGCAGTAGTTGCGCCATTTTCAGGCGGTACAACCAAGGCTCTGCAGGTAGGGCAAGTATGTTGCCCCTCTAACCATGATCGGAGGCAATGCACATGAAAAAGATGTCCACATATAAGCTTCTTGGCTGTAGTCATCTCTTCACGACAGATAATATATGTAGCATCGCTTCTGCATACCCATTTTAAAAAATCAATACTATTGTATAAGTTTAACTACAAAAACAAGTGTAAGTAATATTTTAGAAACTAACGCGTTAAGCTCTTCAGGGGTTGCATCTGAAAACCGATCATTCATATTTGAAGTAATCTTACGATAGCGTATGTAGTCAGCAACATGAACTTTGAAGTTCCTAAATGTCTCATACAGCTCCCATATTAAGTGTAAAGGCACACCATAATTTCTACCAAAGCCAATTTAAGATTAGTACTTAGTAGATAAAAAATAGCCTGTGAAGACTAAACATGCAGTCAAATTAAAACAAAAACAGGACAAACAAGTAAACCAAAAGCTAGACAAGCTATTTTAAAATAACATTCACTACTAAAGAACAATAGAAGAAAACAGTGGGAGGTGACTGGTCACCATAGCCTTATATAATATCTTTGGACAAATAATATAGCAGTAAGATAAAAGCTAAGTTCCATGACAAACACAGTGAGCATTAGTTTAATTAGTTTAACTAACATTATGATGGGTATCTAAGTGGGATGAGATGCTCTACCCCAAAATTTAGTTGTTAAAGTGGGAGAACCAACCCATTTATATATCCCATTGAGCATCCCATATTACTCAATGTGGGACTTGGCATCCCATACTACCAAGTCTCCATGATATTATAATTAGCTAAGTAATTTAGAAGGACCTTCCCTTGGTTAATGTTCAAAGTATCTGAAATGGAGATGACATATATCAGTTGCTAGAAAGTAGGGGAGCGCTAATAAGGAAGTTACCATTAAAGAAAATCTCAGTGCCATTGCAACTCAATCTGGAACTTACTATTTTAAAGGATTGATTTCTATCAGCCTTGTAAAAAACTAAATATCTTTCTCTCACCCATTAATTTCCAAATAATAATTTACAGAGGGCCTGTGCTGCACAAAAATTCCAGCAACTAGTTTATCTGATTTCAGACATGATTTACCTTCAAAGTGTAATTCTTGAACCAACATTCATGTCTGTAAATCAAAACATTAACATCAATTCCAACCTTAAAAATTTTAAATTGCATGATCCTCCATGTAAACACTCTAGGACGATTCATGAGGGCTACAATGCATATACAAAATAAGAGTAGATTGATCACTTACATGAAAATCACGAGGAAGAAACACATATACATAGACAAGTGAAGCAAATCCCTGATGAGTTCCAAGTAGAATGTGAAGACTGGCTTAAAATATGGTAAAATATGCACCTTTATAAATATAAATATATTTATTGTGGGCTTTATAATTTTGGCAACAATGAGATATAAAATTTGTTTCACGATGATGGTCACATAACTTCATGAGTGTGAAAATAAGTTATATCATATGATTTAAGTATCATAATTGTAATTGTCTCAATTGAATTTATGTTGCCCTAAAGAAAATTATATGGCGTTAAGTTTAGGCATTTTATTTGATGAATTTAAAATTATGAGAAATTCTAGTTTAATTAGAATGGGAGGAGATTATATGGTGAGATTCTAATTTAATTAGAATCATTGTTGTTAAGGCATGAAAATATTTTTCATGTAATTAAAATATTTGAAAGTGCGGGCAGCCTAATGTATGGAATTTGTTGCAAAAATGTGTTGTACCAAAATATTAGTTTCTTTTTATAAATGTCTAGTTGTGGTTTAGAGGAAAATTATGTGAAGGCTTTATGACTTGCATAAATGCTAAAAAAAAAAGATTTGTGATTTATCAAGATAGTGGCACAAAAGTTAATCATTTGTCTAGTATAGATGAATAAATTTTGAAATAGACGCATGACCTATTTAATAATATATCTTGGCAGGAGTATTCATTATTGTAAATACTGATTTGTGTTATGATCCCATGAGATAATTAATTTTTTTTTCAAATTATGGAATTGAGAATAGTGGATTCCTACTATATAAAATACGTGGATGCATGTTTACTAAGTTATTAATTTGTGTGAGAAAACCCATTAGTGATTATCCACTTTCGGTAGTGATGATATCAAAATATAATGATAGGACTATAGTGGAATCCAAGCTAATTAATTTGAAACTGGATTAGAGGCTAAGTTGCTAGAGATCATCTAAGCAATTATTTTGTTGTGTAAAACTGACACTTAGTGCCGATGAGTTCTTATGAGGCTGATATGTTATTTTAAAAAAATGATATATTTTTGTTGCTCAATTTATGTATGCACAAATTTGTGAGAGTTTGTTGCACTATTAAGTGTTAATCTCATGACATACGTTGCATGGAGATTAAGTCTCATAAGAGCATGAGACAAATGAATATTTAAGGGATACCATAAATGGTGGTATCATGTATAATAGATTTCTATTGTATTAAGACAATACAATGATGTTAACTAAATTTTATATTCAAATGAAGAAAAATCTATTAATAGCCAAATAAAATGTTATTTGAGCCAGAGTTTATTATTTTAAAGTTGGCTAATAATGAAGTTGAGTAGTTAAAAAACTTCTCAATGAATATTCTACTATGAGTAAAACCGACATAAACTATGTTGATGATTTGTAATTGCCAAATGGCAATAGTCATTGCAAAGAGAATAATGACATAGGTAAATATCGTTTGAAATACAATTAAGCATGCTAAAAAAGAGAGTTATTTCAATCGATTACGTGAGATCAGATGTAAATCTGACGAATTCGTTAACTAACCCCTTGGGAAGAATTTTAATTATTTAAATGTTGAGGAGAATGGGACTTAAGCCTATTTAAAATTAACAGTGATGGAAATCCAACCTTTGTGAGTAGAAATTCCATGAAGAAGGTTCAATAGGTAAGAACAAATTACTTGTTAGTTTTGCTAGCACTAAATTTTCTATCCCTTCCTACGACTTGAGAAAATGCTAGAATACATTGATCGAAGGTTGAGTGAAAGCTCTTAATGTTTTTCATAGTCCTTACGGATGATATATTCATTACAGATACACTTGATGAAAATACTTATACAAATGTGAAATAGGGCTGCTCCTATGAGATCGTGGCGAAATCTCTAGAGTATTTGTTATAGCCAGGCATGCACATGGCTGATAACGTGCAAAACCGCGATAACAATGGAAATTGTGGGGGTATAATTTGACTAATAAGACCTCTAGCATACGACCAAGATCTGTTGGTTCAATAACAAAGTTACACTAACTTTTCTGTGTGTTAAGTTTTATTGGTCTAGATTTGGTTCAAGTTGAAAGACACCAAATTTAAAGTGATTATCTTTTGTGAAAATAACTCAGATGATAGTGGTCCTTTTGACACATGTAGGGAATCGTTACAATTATGTCAAAAAGGAAAGTCCTATGTTGCTCAAATGATAGAAGGCCTTAGTTTATAGATACTGAGATGTGAACTTGGACTAATAAATGGGCTCTTGCATACAATTACATAAAAGTTAGACGTAATTCTTGACAATTTTTCAAAATTTTGAAAACTATTTTTTGGAGATGCAAAATTATTTGTATAAGATAGTTTTTCAAAATTTTTCCTTCCTTTTGGAATATGTGAGGGATTGTTGGATATTATAAATATTTTTGAATATTTCAGAAGGAATTATTATAAATTAATAATATTAATTATTATTTAAGTCTATTTATTATTTTATAACTTATAATTTAAACAACATTATTATCTGAAACTGTTTTTTTAATTGTGA